ACACCATGTGTTCGTTGTTTTTTTGGCATTTCAACCTGTGGAGAATTTCTATGTAAGATATGCTACTCGGAGGCCCCCACAGTATCTTTTAAAAAGCTGTTCTACAGAATCGGGGTAAACCTTTAATATCATCATCATCTATAGAGTTCTTTGTATCTGTGATTTGTCGATGCTGATACCATAATATCCTCTACAATAAAAAATGTGCCAAAAGGCACTAAATGCATCTTTCACACTTGAAAACAACAACAACAAAAAAGGTTTTGTGGTCCCTGTATTTCCTTACATTATCAAAAAATATCATTTGGCAATAGCAATACTTAGTTTTCTCTTCCCAAAAGGCAGCCCTAATTATGAACCTCACTTTCTGGCTTGTTTCTTTAAGAGGAATGAAGACTGGCTAGGTCAAGCCTCAAGTGTTTAAACTGAACAGCTGATTACATCCCTAAAAACTCTTTTCTATCCAGAATCTAAAAAACAGTAGTTGAAGAATAAGGCATATTAGTAGGTGTTGACAAATTCTCAAAAAGTACAGTTAGGCTTTTAACAGTCTGTGGCATGTCCAAAAGTCTGGATTTGTTGATTTTCAAGTGCTAAATACACAATGTTTATGAATGAGACAAATATCTTACTGGTTTGTTAGAGTTATTTTTTCCAAGCACTTATTTACAGGCTATTTATGGTAGTAAAAACTACCTGGATAATATATATATATATATTTTTTGCCACACAGAAAGGGTTAGACAGTCATACCCAGAGAACATTTCAAACATGTATGATTGAGAGAACAGTCACACCCCCATAACACCCCTCCCCCAAAGCTTCTCTAACATAGACAACCCTGTGCTGATCTGTGCAACATGGGGAGACCAAGTACCCTCAACCTAAAAAGCTGGCTACCTACTGGGTGGGCTGATGAAAAATCAGGTTCCTTAAATTCACTGAATTCAAAACCGTAAGGAGGTGAACAGCTCCAACACACCCAGCTCCATCTGTAGGTCTGGCCCAGAGGGTGGCAGGCAAATTTGAGGGAAATGCCGTCGGAAGAAGAGACCAGAGTCAGTGAGCGGGTTAGCAGGTGTGTTCCACCTGGTGGTCCCTTGAGGACTCTGGGAAGGGAGAAGGTAGACCCAAATCCCCAACGTAATTTTGTGTTACCCCAGCCTGATGGTATCACCTTGTTCCCACAGACCTTGAAAGCAGGCCATGAGAGAGAAGGCAGGGACCAGGACTGGTGTGCCCTACCCTGACCCGCACAGATCTACCCTGGCCTCATCTGTTTGGGTCTCGGGATGGCATGAAACTGGGCTTCACCCTGGCTGCTCTAAAGGGCTGTTTCTGCTCAGAAGACGGGCTAGTCTGGACTCTGCTCTCCCTTCACTCTCACCAGCTCAGGACACAGGGCAGAGGAGGAGTCTCATGAGACTCAGTGAACAGCATCAAAACAGAATCGAGTGCCCGCGACTTCAATGCTGTCAACGGCAGGGCCAAGTCATACAAACTCCGAGTGCCTCTTGGGCCGATACCGTCCCAAGAGCAAGTCCACGTGCAGACAGCCACATGGCGGGTGCCGAACTCTAGACTGAACTGCCCGGCGTTCCAACACAAACGGCAGCCTCGCAAGGAATGAGGGCCAGGTGTGCCTTTTATTCCGCCCCTTGTGGATGGCGACCGAGAAAACACATTCAACTCAACAACACGTAAGACACCCTCTGGGTGTGGCTGAAATTTGGCATGAAGACACACTTAGGTTACATTCACCACCATCCCCAGAGGTGTGCTGGTTTTTGTTATTTCAGCTAAAGAAAGGTGTGTGGCGGGTTCAATGAGCAGCACAGTGAAATACGAGCCAGTCACGTCCATAATCGCACTTATCTGAGGAGTCATCGTTAAGTCTTAATAAAGGATAAAACCCAACCCTGAATCTGGCCTGAGCAGGAGCAGAGGTTCCTTGCTTTAAGCACAGTAGCTGAGAGCCTTCTTGGCAATCCAGCACAGGGTAAGGAAGAGCAGTGTCCTGAAAATGCTATAAATCACCACTGCTCTATTCAACCTCACCTGCATCTCTAAGATTGCTCAGTTTCTACGAGTCCTCTCTTCTGCCCTAGCCTGGACTTCTAACCCAGGTGAATGGAACCTTCCACTTCCCCAGCCCAGGGACAGTCAACAGGGATGACTTTCCACTCCACTGCTATGTACTCAAGTTTCAACCTGTCCACATGTGTCTAAGGTTAAGACACATCCTCAAGCAAACATCTCCCGGAAAATAAACACAAGACAGGAGTTGGTGATTCACGACTTTGTGGAGCCATGAAGGATAGGGTGACGAACCCTCTAGGAGGCAGTCTTTGGCACAGAGGTCTCTGGGTTACGCTTCTCATGGGGAATCATCTTTGTGATGATGGAGATAAAGAGGTGAATGCTGAAGGCTGCAGACCTTCAGTGGTGGGGCCCATGGGGATGCAAAGGGCTGGAGAGTCTCCACCACTGCCTACTATCCCTCGCCTTCTGGGCCAGCCTCCTCACCTCATCAGATGCCAGCCAGAAGTAAGGGACAAAGGTTCATTTTCTGGAATGACCACTCCTCCAAGGAAGGCTGCAAGGTACCCTGGTCCTCCAAGCTCTGCTAACAGTGGCACGCTGGAGGTTGGTTTGCTCATTCCAGCTCTCCTTGGAGGCTTAAAGTGCAGGCACTTCACTGAGGGACCAAACAGAGAAAGACAAAAGCCAAAGGTGCCCATAATGCTTCAGAACTATTCTTCTGCCTCCAATCATGTAAGAGGATGACTGTGTGCCCCACCCACCCATCTCCATACGTCCCAGCAAGGAACCTGATGGGTTTCTTCTGAAGGGCTACCTTCTTGCCCAACTGACCTCCCACAGGAATGTCCGTGGGCTCTGGCCAGTAGCAGCAGACTAGAGTCTAGTCTTCCTGTAATTTCTCCCACCGTTCTTCCCAAGCACTCATCATGCCGGACATTTTTAAAGCATACGTTCCATCAGGCAAGACTTCGCACGTTTGCCAAGATGAGTATTCACCTCTGGGACAGTCTAGTGTCTTCTGCCAAATATCCATAGAAGGCCATCAACCCACTATCAGATACACGCCCTGATTCTACCAGTAAGCTGTCAGGCTGGACCCAGGCAACCACAGCCACACCAATAGGATGGTTTAGAGGTAGAATGAAACACTGAATCACCCCTCGGGGTCAATGAACTGTTCTTACCCTTTTTCTCCACTGAATCATCTCTAATTGTACCAAAAGGAAGATTCATATCAGAGGATTTTAGAATGGCACGAATGGGGTCTAACAGCACAAGAAAGTACCAACTGACATACATATTATCACTTCAACCATGACTTTTTCAGACATGATGAAAACAGAACCAAGCTCTTCTGGGCTGTCCAATGGCTGCCCCACCAGCATCACAGCCATGGCTGCCCCAAGATCAATTCTGCAGCTGAAAGCTGCAGTGACCTCAGGAGGTTGCATGCTGACCAGTATTTGCAGGTTCACTTGAAAACACAGCAGTGTCTCAGCACAGCTATTTCATTAAAAACAACCAAACAAACAAAAATAATACTACCGCTTATTTGAGGCTCAGATTTGTAATTTTATAGAGATGAGCCACAGACAAAAGAACACAAACACGACATAGGTAGTTTCACTTCAAGAGGGGAAAGATAATAAGCTGGAGGAAGAGATCCTTCTTGTCTATTTTGTGTTGACACATTTGAAAAGGAAACCTGCTAAGAGTCTGAAATGAAGGCTTCAAATGGAGCCAGGAGGAGATGTGAGCTTAACCAGAAGCAAAGAATTTGCTGTCACACATGTCGTCTTCGAGGCCCATCTGGATGCAGGCTCTTCTTTCTGACTAGGAAACAGTAAAGGTAAAGCACTTCATGTAGAGCATTCATTCACACTATAGTTTACAAACCTTGACTATATCCTAAGAACACGCCAGCCTCTCCCCCAAAGGTTGCCCAAACGTTCAGTGGACACAGGAGGAAACATTAAAACTAGCAATTTTTGGTGAGGTAAAGGCAAACTGCACAAAGCGGACATGGGAGGCGGGGCTTGGTATACGCCCGCTGACCTCAGCAACTCTCAACAACTCAGTTATTCCAATTTCAAGACAACAGATGACCCCTCTCAGGCCGGTCTCTCTACCCTGATGACATTTAACAAGCAAAAGAACGGTGAAGAACGTCACAGAGAAAAATGCACCCTTTTCTTTTCATTTTACACAAAACAGCTCCCAATCTACTACATTTTAGTGTCAGAAAACGAGTCTGGGGAACATGGCTCCCTCCACTCCCCAAGGCATCGGCATGAGGACAAGGACGCTGGCTGGCTGGCTCGAGCATGGATGCACCAAGCCACCGATTTAAACGGTCCTACATGAACCAGAAACCCTAACATAGGTGTCACTCATGACGGGCAGGCAGCAGGCCACACTCAGAGCCACACAGGCCACTGTATGTACATTAAGAACTTCCCCTGGAGGTGCCGACACCACCTTCCAGGCCGAGACGAGTCAAGGCCCATGGAGGCCAATGTCAGAGTGGCTGGGCATCCACAGAAAGCAAGAGCTGCCTCCTGTTCATGCCTTCCTCATGGCCTGGCGAAGCAGGACCCGGTTGTCTTCCTCAGCAGGCAACTCTGCTGGCCCCAGAGAGGGGACTGTAATGAGATATCAGAATGTCAGCTGAGGGCTGACGTGTGCCTCAGTTTCAAATCTTCGGAGTGTCCCACCAAGCAGGTTCCTTCACACCACGGAGGCACGCTTCTTCCACCGAGAGATGATGACAGCCCTTTATGGACTCCACCAAGGAATAAATACTCATGGAAAACAGCTGTCGGACCAAGGGGGGGGGATACACCGAGGAGAGATGCTGTGGTTGTCTTCTTGGTGCTGCATGTCCGGCACCGCAGGGACATTCCGGGGTGGGTGCCAGGCCCTGCGTAGGTAGGAGAGTCTCGGTCCCGAGAAGGGGCTTACTTGTCCTCTTGCTTCTCCTGCAGTAGTGGGATGATCGACTCCCACGCCATGAGGCACTGGAATGACAACACACACACTGCGCATCAGCGTGGAGATGCAGATTTCAGGGTCAGCTCTGAGCTACCCTCCCACAGTCAATCCTGCTGGGTCACCTTTGTCTAATGACGCCCTACATGGGTTATTCAGAGCTAGTAGAAAGAAGGGAGGCAACAGATGTTTGTTTTGACTGTATCCCCCTCCCCCATCTCCATGAAAGACAGCAATGTCTCTATGAAGCCTAAATGAACTATCTGTGAAGTTCATCCCAGTGAGTGGAAAGGTATTCACTGAAAGAAATCCCCTCCCTTCCAAAAGCAGAAGAGAGAGAGAGGCAGGCTGCAAACTCTTGGTGAGGGCCCAGGTTCCCATCCGGGGTGGAAACACTGCTCCACATGTGGGTGGCAGGATAGAAACCATCTTGGAATGGGCCAGACGTGTGACTCAGGGCGCTCTCGTTCAGCCACCTCGGTTTAAGGTGGAGAACTACACGAGGCCTTCCTGAGAGGCAGCACCAGAGTGAAGCAGGACTCTGTGCTGAGGAGACTGGGGAGGAGGAGACATGAGCAGAGGGGAGGAGGCACACATCTCCAAGTCAAGCTGGGGGAAGGGAGAGGTGAATGGCTCACCGCTTCCTTCCTTGATGACTCTGAGGTTGGAGAAGAAGCTGGACTCAGACCCTGCCCTACAGAAGGAAGCCTGGGGAGCCTCGAGGAACTTGCTGTCAGAGAGAGACCCAATGTGGGGTTGGTGACATCCTGAGTCCCGCTCTCTACCTCTGCCATCATCTCTCATCTGGAAAGTTCTATGTCAGTGACGGGGACCAAGGCCATACCAGCTTGCCTGCTTGCTAGCTTCCTTTTTTACCATTTTAAAGACATATTTTATCATACAACTATTACATGGAAACATTTTCACTGTAAAAAAATTCAAACAATACAAATGAACCAACTAAATACCAGCTTTCTTTACCAAGTGAACTACTGGCCAAATGCTCAAGCTTTTTCCCATCCCAGGACCCTTACATATGTTGTCCCCTTTGCCTGGAATATCTGCTCTTTGTCTCTGCAACTCAGGTTAAAAGCTGTGTCCTCAGACTTTCCTGCCCACTCTGCTTGCCTCTTCCATCCTGATCTGAATGATGCCTCCCTCGACTTTCCTCCCAGCTTCCTGTTCTTTTCCTGGAGGGCCTGCCTCTCTCTGAAGAGGTGGGATTCTTGGCCTAACGTGTCTCCTCCACTAGACAGGGGCTTCTCTGGTAGCTCAACTGGTAAAGGGTCTCCTGCAATGCAGGAGACCCTGGTTCGATTCCTGGGTCAGGAAGATCCGCTGGAGAAGGGATAGACTACCCACTCGAGTATTCTTGGGCTTCCCTTGTGGCTCAGCTGGTAAAGAATCCATCTGCAATGCGGGAGACCTGGGTTTGATTCCTGGGTTGGGACGGTCCCCTGGAGAAGGGAAAGGCTACCCACTCCAGTATTCTTGCCTAGAGAATTCCATAGACTGTATGGTCCATGGGGTCGAAAAGAATAGGTCACGACTGAGCGACTTTCACTTTCCATTAGACAAAGGGGTCCTTAATGGCAGGAGTCCTGCTGCTCTATCGATATGTACAAGGTACACAGATAGTACACAAAATCATCTGCCAAGACGAGGCCCCAGGACAGGGGCCCTGTTTGTGGCATAGTGGGAGGACACAGATGAAGGCCCTGGGTTTGAGATCTGGGCCCTGGGAACACTGGAATTAATCACCAAGAAGAGGAGGGGACATCAGCTGAGTCGGCCCTGGTGCAGTGGGAAGGTGGGGGACAGTGTGGGAAGGAGGGATGGAAGCCCCATTCACTGCCTATCAACCACATGCCAGGCATATTCCAGGTGCTCAGGCATCATTTCATTGTTTCTTCACCATCATTCAGATGAAGAAACAAAGGCAGAGAGAGGCACCCTGCCTAACAGCCCAGTCAGCAGAGGAATGAAGCCTTGGCTGCACCTGGAATGATCTTTCCACCTGTAGGCAGGCAGAACTGTCTCCCTCACTGACAGTGTGTGGGAATCCTCAGACCTGTGGACCCAGTGGAGCCAAGTCTGACCGTAGTTCAGTCATTCACAAGCTCTGTGCCCTTGGGCAGAGTTTTAAAACCTGGCTGAGCTTCCACGTCTCCAGCTTTAAATTGAGAGCCTCTAAAACCCACTTCACAGTGTTATGGTGAAGGTTAAGTTTAAATTTAACAAGCTGACATATGCAAAGCATCCAGCCCAATGTCAACTCAGACACACAGCAAGTGTCTGGGAGAAAGGTACCGAGAAAAGGAGAATGGCCCCTTCCCTTTTCCCCTGAAACAGTCCATCCTCAGACCTAGCAGGTAAGGGCTATTCCATGACTCTTTCCCTTAACCCTCCTCCAAATTAAGACGCAGACACACTGCCTCTGAGCAGCAGCCAGAGCATCAGTGTTTTTGAAGGAGATGGATTCCTCCAGTTTGGGCGGAGGACATATTTCTAGAATTGTGGTGCGAGTAGCTGAGTTAATGCTTGTCCAGCCTGATTTCAAGTCTACAGGTTATTTGCTGAATTATGATTGGGCCATTCTTCATCTTCATTAAGCTTTTGAGAAATACTAGGATTCATTAGCAACCGTGCTCTAGAGTTGGATGTGCTAGGGGCAAACTTTGACTGAGGATATTCGGCTGCAGCTTTATGACAGTCAAGTGTGTGCGTGAGTGCATGTGTGTGTGTGTGTGTTGGGGGTGCTTAATTTGAAGTCCGCAGGTCAAGAGACTCATGAAAAAAACCCGTTTTTTAGTGTTAATAGTTTTCCTTTGTAATCCTATATCCTTTTGTATTAGGTATTTAAAAACAGTATTTTAAAGTCTATTTTAAAAAACAAACAGTATTCTAATAAGGAGGCTCAAGGCTTCACCAGATGACCAAAGGGATCCATAGCAGAATAAATGTGAAGAACCTTTGGGTGCAGAACCAAAGAACAGCCTGAAGGGCCCCAAAGCCTCCATCAACTGGGGACATCCATGCGCTACAGGCCTGACTGGGAAGCAGCTGCTAGAAGAACTAGAGGACTTGGAGGGTAAAACCACAGTTTCATCAGCACGGTGAAACCCCTGTGGGCACGTGAGGGGGGCCCCCGGTTCCAAACCCAGCACCGCATCTAGCAGAGCAGGGTGAGGACACACGGGGCTCACTAAGACTAAACACGTAAATTAAGGGAAGGAGAAGGGCCTGGCAGGATCCTTCCGGCCTTCTGGCAGGCCCTGACCAGAGGCTCTGGCTATTAAGGGGAGGACTGTCGTCTCATCATCAGCTCATTACCTTCTCGTAATACTGGATGTTCTTGTCAGCCATTCCCATGAGCAGCTGCCGAAAGTCCTGTCTCTTGTTGTTCTGCCACCTCTCCATGTCGGCTTTCAGATCAGCGTTGAAACACTCCATCCGATCCTGACATTTCTCCACATCTGCTGGGACCTGGGAGGGGAATGTGTACATGAGAGCTCTGTATGTACAACAAAGACCTCATGCCCCTGTGCTCATATGTTTGTGAGAGGCCAGAATACTGCCTTAAAATGCCATGAACATTCCCTCCTCTGGAGGTGCAGGCATAGCCTTGGGTTTCCAAGTGAAAGAAGGAATTTTGAAAAGTGCCATCCCTGACCCAAATTTTCAAACCCATCTAAGCTAAACAGTGACTCATGGGGGAAACACCTGTCTGTTTACAAACAGGAAGAAGAAACACTGTGATTCAGAGTCATCTGTCTTTGGTTCCTTTTAGGAGTTACCCATCTGTAAGTGAAAGTGTATGATGGTTTTGTAAGTGTACAGCAGTGTTTGGTACTGCCCTGCTATGCTCCTATGCCCCATATTGAAAGCAGAAAATCGGTGTTTTCACATCACATGAACTGTCCTATTACCCATGATGTTTCTCATTAACCAGAGAATTCACTGCAATAAGAAGACAATTGACCCACTTTACGAATCAGCTGGAGACTTATCCACGCACTCTCAGATAGCAGAAAATCAAAAATACAGAGTTAAAACTGGGTAATTCTGGGGAAATGGAAGGCAAGTTGTTCATGCGTGCCATAAACCATGAAATTCAAAGAAGAAATATACAGCAGGCTATTTCTAGTTCTTCTTAAGGAAGTTTAGAAGACTTTCTCAAAATAGAACTAGGTTGCCTGAATTTCACAACTTTCACTTTGCTTTGGTGAGTTTCATCCACTCTACACAGTTGGAAAGAAAACACCCAATACTAAAAGAAGGTAATGGGAAATGGTAACCCTGGTACCCAAAACACAAAGCTGGCTTCTCTCCTAACTCAAGAGGCTCCACTCAAGAGGCTCCACTGGACTTTGATGGTGGCCAGGGGGTTGTGGGCAGGGAGTCAACTTGCCCAAAGCTGGGTCGCACAGTCACCTACCAAATGCTTTCCCAAAACAAGTGAGGCCTTGTACATTTTGTGTGCTGGGGCCTCTGATCCCAAATGTAACCATCAAGGTCAATCTCTACCAACCAGGGAAGTTTTATACCCAGACCTTTTGAAACAAGAAACAAGGCCAAACCTGGGGGAGTTGACTCTTTCAGGGTTTCCAAAGTGCGAGGGCACTTGGCCATCTGCCAGCCAGACCACTGGGCCATGGCTGCGTACGCAAGAGCAGGGGAAGGGGAGCCACCCAGGTGAAGGAATTCAAGTGTTGCCTGGCATGGAAACTATCCTGGGAGAGGCAAGGATGAGTGAGAGAAGAAGATATAGTCAGATATCCTGGGCAACTGAAAAGAAAAGATATTTGGGGAATTCCCTGATGGTCCAGTGACTAGGATATTGATGGTAAGTGCTTTCACTACTGTGGACTCAGGTTCAATTCCTGATTGGGGAACTAAGATCCTGCAAGTTACTCAGCAAAACAAAACAAGCAAGAACTTTTAAGGGCTGGGGTAAGTGTCCTCTAAAGCACTTAAATTCCTGGAGGAAATTTAAAAAAGGACTCAATTTTTATCTTCTGATGCCAGAACCGAAGTCACTTTTGCCTTTCCCTGCTGATTCACCTGTTACTCTTGGCCACCTTGGGGGAAACTGAAGTAAAAACAATACTGCCTTGACTGTGCATCTGCAAAGTCTGCAGAGCATCCCTGGCAAACATCCTGGGAACCAACCTCAGCAGGCACCCAGCAAACCAGGCTCCAGACGCTTCCCCGCCCTCCCGGCAGGCACAGTCCACTTCCCTTATTCCTCTTGCAACCACTGCTAATTTTAGCATCTGGGGAAAAGTGTCCAGAAACAACATCCTGTATGCTTAACAAAACTGCTGCAGCAAGGAGGAAAGCCAGGCTCTGAAAGGAAGACTTCCTGCACAGTGAGAAGAGGCGGGTAGGCTCTCTTGATTCCAGGGAGTGCTCACCTAGGAAAGATTCCTGGGTCTGGTCTGGGGATGGAAACTCTGGATTGTATGGTTGCCCGAGCCTCAATGTGGGAAATGCTTTTAGCTTATCATTTTCCCAACATATTACACATGGGGTACAGGGGGGAACATGAAAGTGCTGAGGTCTCAGCAGGCACATCTTGTCTCAAGTCACCCAGAGTCTAGGTGGGAAGAAAACAAACATGTCTGGACACGAAGGGGAGATGGTTCAAGGGCTTTCACTTCACTTGGAGCCTGTGACACGCACACTGTGAGGAGGAGCTGGAGAGTGAGGACAACGTGAACGGGGGAGACGGGAGGAATACCACATAGGCAACACTTAACAGATGACGGAGGCACTTCCCCAGTGTTACCGTGGTTAAGAATGCACCTTGCTATGCAGGACATGGGTTCAACCCATGGTCCAGGAACCAAGACCCTACACGCCGAGGAGGCACTGAGCCTGCACCCCCACAGCTAGAGAGCCCATGTACTGCAACAAAACATCCCACATGACCCGGCAGAGATCCCACGTGCTACAACTAAGGCCCAGTCAAAAAAAAAAAAAAAGATGGTGGAAGTGGGGACCTGTGGCTCCAGAGGGACAGACAAGTGACAAGAGGTGAGGCAACCCCTGGACCCACCTCAGGAACAGCTCACAGGCCACAGACCCCCAAAGACAGAGAGAGAGAGAAAGAACCCCAGCTGGCAGAGAACAAAGCGCAGAACTCATGGAAGGGCCTGCACGCACAGGGTTACTAAAGGAGTCGGCAAGTTACTAAGAAACCTGGACGCCGGAGCAGGAAATAAGTCAGGGCGAGCAGAGCCACAGAAGCACAAGGATGGAGGAGGTGGGGGGAATGGGAGTTAAAAAGAACAGAATAACAGGAATCCTGTGTTAAGAGGTGAGCTGTACTCTGAAGTAACCAGCTACTGAACTGCCCAACTTTATGGAGAGAAGGGCCGCTGGGGCTTGCGTTCCTCTCGTTTTTGTTTCTGTCTGGACGGTGTCTCAATCTACCCACGAGCAACCACCAGCATTCCCTCCTATCTCAGTGTTTCGATTTTTTGACTGAGACACTCTTGGAGGTATTGTCTGGAGGGGTTGGAGATGGAAATATCCAATGCTAATGGTTGGTGCTGCTGTTCACAGCACACCAAGAAGGACAAAAAAGTCTCCAGATAAGACTTCGCTGCTATTTAGTTGCTAAGTCATGTACAACTCTTTGATGACCTGTGGATTGTATTCCGCCAGGCTCCTCTGTTCATGGGATTATCCTGGCAAGAATACTGGAGTGGGCTGCCATTTCCTCCTCCAGGGGAATCGTCCCAACCCAGGGACCAAACCTGCATCTCTCATGGCTCCTGCGTTGGCAGGAGCTCATTACCACTAAGCCACCTGGGAAGCCCCAGAGAAGACCTCATGAGACCAGAATTTCTGGAGACAGGACAAGGCTGCATTCTTCATATTGGTTCCCCCATCTCTCATGAGAAGTTCCATTACAGGATATGAGTTATGGAGTGAAGGCAGAAGGGTAACACGGGAGGAGATAAAGCATATATCTGTGCTAGAGAGCAGGGCGGGAATGTGAATTCACTCAGCACTCAGTGAGAAATGTATCACTGAGCTCTTTCCATGAAACAGGCATTGCTCGGCCCTACATATAAATCTCCAAGTTTCCTTCTCGGAGGTAGGCTGGAGACGTCATATTATCTGCTCCCACGATGACAGTAGGTTAATAAAGTCTGCAAAGGTTACATAAGGTAGACATGACCCCAGTACCAGGGGAAAGAGGGGACTCATGGCTGCTGGGGGACAGGTGCCAGGACCAAGGACAGAGTCAATTCAAGACAGTCGTCTTCTCAGTCACATGCTGCTAACTGAAAAACAGGCAGAGTTCCTAACTGGTGCCATGTCAACGACAGCAATACTGGTCCCCCCACCCACCCCCCAGCCCCCTAGGAAGTCAGAGCTGGCCACCTCCAGTTTCAAGCAATCTGGTCTTCAATCCCAACGTTCCATACAAATATTTTCATTTTCTATGTGACCTGTGCGATGGAAGAGAAGTTGAGAAAACACTGGGGCAGAGTCAAGTTTGAGAAGAGGCTACTGAATTTGGCAAATATTCAGTAAGAACGCTTAAAAAATAAATATATATATATATATAAAGAAGCAAACTTCAGAGAACGGCTGGTGAGGAGGGAAAAGTGAGCGCCCGAGGCCGGTGGAGAGCAGACACGCTGAGGAGAGAGGAGCCCTGAGCTCACGTGCACGACGGCTGAATGGACGGGCAGACACAGACCAAGAGCCAAGGCAGGCCCAGGTTCTCCCCCCAGCCCTCCGCCATCAGCCACACATCTTCCAAAAGCAGGAAGCACCCCCCCCAAGAAGCAAAGGTTGCTGGGAGCCCTCGCAGTGGGGATAAAGGGCTCCAACTTGGAAACCAGACATATCGGGGGCCCAATTCCAGCTCCACCAGGTGTGAGCTTCTGTGGGTGGGTCACACAAGTCCCCTGGGCCCTGGCTGCTCATCTGTAAGGTGGGAACCGCACTGATAGAGGCTGTTGGAGGAATTAAACAACGGAGGCAACAGAGCCCTGTCCCGCTGTGGTGGATTACTCTGGCTTCCTAAACCAGGCTGAGGTCATGGCTCCTGTGGAGAGAACTGGGAGTCATCAGGCGTGCCTTTCCTCACTCACCAGAGGTATCTGGAAACAACAGATACTCCTGCAGAACTCTCAGGCCTATGGAAGCTCCATATTCAGAAGTCCCCCTGTTTCTATCTGCTATGTCGGAACCGGAGTTCTTGCTACCCACTGCCACATCGCCCTCATTCCAGAATGTTCACCATTCTGGTGGTTTTAAGAATTTGTAAAGGCCCACCACCTTTGAGAGGCTCGTCCAAGTGACCTCCAGCGCTCCTTCCCCTCTCCACCTGCGCTCACCCTGAGAAGAGGTACATCTTGTCTTCTGTTCCATCCACATCCACACCACACGCCTCTGCCCGCGATGATGCTACCCACTTCCAACAGCCTCTGGAAGGATCCAGTACCAGGCACCGGATCCGGCAGGCTTCAGTGGGTTGGGGCCTGAAATAGCCCCTCTCTTTCTCTTTTAACCTTTCATAAAACATTCTCTCTTGGTATCCCTTCTTTGTTAATTTTTTGAATCAACATGTGACTATATAAGCATGTGAAGAGAGTTAAACCCAGAATACAACATGCCTGGTCCCCTGTGGTTTACCCTCACAGGAGTCCACATTTGAGTATGCGTGCTTCCCATCCAGTTTTAAATGCAATGCCTTGGCTCCCCTCTGTTTCCACTAATAGCTTTGATAGCTTCTAAGGAAGGGCAAATTCTCAGATTTCCCGAAGTGGTCCCGACAGAGGCAGCAAAAAGCAGCCAGCTCCCTCCCTGCTCAGTGCATTTTCATTTCTGCAAATTAAAATCAAAATTAAAATAAGGAAGCCGACTCTGCACAATCAAAGCTCCACTTGCCTGAGAATAAACCACCTCAGGGTCTGCAGACTTTCCTCCACCTAAAACCAAAGCAATCTTTAAATTCTATGATACAAACATTTTCTCTCTGTTCCAGAGGCCTCATCACTGCCTGCCCCCAGCACGGCACACGCCTAGAAGCCGCGGCCACTGGGCTCCCTGTCCACCCAGCCAACAGCCGGAGTCACGGGGCTCAGTCCTCTGTCCAAAGACATCCACTCCCCTGTGAAATCCCAGGGAGGGACACTGAGACCCAAGAGGCCAACTCCTTCTCCTGGGTTACTGAGAAGTGGTCAGTTGTCAATACCTCTCCATGGCTTCACATAAAATCAACTCTGCCTCACTCTTCAGAGCAAACTTTCAAGACTTCACCTCAAAAGGAACTCAGCCCCCAGACTCCCTCAGATCTTCTCTTTTCCAGCCCAGACCCCAGCCTCCCCGTGAGGACTCCCCATCTTCGGGTGGGAGTCCTTTCCTTGTCTGCAGCCCTGGGATGGACCTGTGAGCAGTCTTGCTCCCACGACAGTTACCAACAGTAGAACCTGTTGAGTCCTGGGGGAGCATCAGCCCTGACCCGCTTCCTGAAAGCCTGGCTCTCTTCTCACCAACAGCAGCTCTGGAAAGTGAAGCTCAAACATAAGACATTAAACAGAACACAGCCGACCCTTAAACTACTCACTTCCCACAGCAGCTGTCTCTCTGCTGCTACAGACATCTGGGAGGCGTGGGGACGCAGGGGACACTTTGGGACACAAGGAAACAATGCCCCCAACAGTGCACTCAGAAAAAAAATTTTTAATTAAAAAAAAAGTAGCACCAAACCTAGAAAACGAAACTCTCATTCAGCATTCCTACTAGAGGCAATGGGAGCCAGTCTGGACAACAGAGGACCCACCAGCAGAACATCTGCTGTTGCATCAGATACTTGACTGACTCTCCCATCTTCACAGCAATCACAGGGATGAATCCCACAGAGGCTGGTGAGCAAAACCAGCAAAACTCTGAGCTGGGGAACAGAGTGGGGATTCAAACCCAGGGCCATCTGATTTCAACCCTGTGCTCCATCTACCAAACAGTGGTTGATTGGACGGGCCGCCAACCAAGCCCTCCATGGTCCAGCAAAGCAGCAGCTGCCCCAGACCCCAGACTGGAGACACAATTTCAGCTGCCCCCACTGTTGATTACACTTGGTGGTGCATCATGGTGGCGGCCCCTGCTTTGTTAAGTATCACCATGGCTACATGAGCAGCAAGTTCACTTTGGAGTGATTCAGAATCCCGTGAGAGAGAGGGAAGACAGACACTGTGCCCCCACCCCCACACTGTGCTAAGGGTGCACGGATGTTTGGAACTTCCAGATTGGAAAGAAACCCTTCCCCCTCTTGGGAGAACTCTGCTGGCGGAGAGAATGAGTCGGATATGTGAGCGAGTTGATGCTCCAGGGAGGTGAGAGCAATGGCAGCAGGAAGACTGCAACACCCATTGGGAGGAGAGGAGAAGTCACCCAGGCCGGCAAAAAGGGAACAGCGCGAGGCCCGAGCCCTGCAGCTTGGCTGGGTGGAACTTGGGAGCCAGAAAGAGCAGCTTCCTCTGCTCCCGGGTGGGTGTGGCCTACAGGCAGCCAGCAGTCCAGGGCCCAGTCAGCATTTAATTCGGCCTATTACTCATACCCTTCAGTTCATGTCTTTGGTAAGGCGCCGTCCCAAACTGGGCTGAACATCTACCAAAAGACGAAACTGGCCTCTGAGAAAGAGCTTACAGTGGTTGCTGAGTAGGGAGGACGGCTGATAGAACTATTTAAGTGACATCTTTGAAACAGGATTTTCAGCTTCCAAGCTGGGCTAGTGGCAGAACTTGTTGTCTCTCCTTCCATCCCTCGCCAGGAAAAGGAACTTCTGTACTTATATTTAGAAGCTAAATTGTTAACGGTGAGATTTTTAAATACAGTGTCCCTTGTCATTCTTTTAAATGAGACGGAGATGTGGGCTCAGCAGGCTGCACCGTGTTCCAGAAAATCAGAGGAGCGGCTTGGAGCCAGTCAGCGGGACGGGCAGCTGCAGGCAGAGGGCGGCTGGGCACACAGCACCTCAACAGTGGACCTCTCGGCTTCTCTGCTTTTGGCTGGGCTACAGTTTGTGGACCATTCCACAAACTACACTTTTGAGAACACTGATCTAGACTGTTCTCCTTTCTCCTCAGTCCCATTTCATAGACAGGAACTGCCTCTGAATTGCAGAGCTGGAAACCTCAAAAAAAAAAAAAAACCACAACAAAATCCCAGGAAAGAGTAAGAAAAAGCTCAACCCCCAGTGTACATTGGACATAAAAGGGAGCAAAGAGAGGAAAAGAACAGCATTAACCCCACCCAGCCGGCACTGGTTGCTTTGGTCATACCGATCAGGGGACATGAATTCACCCGGCACACCGTAGGGTGTCACAGCCCGCCCGCCCCGGACGTCCCCCTGACCTTGGGCCGCTCTTCCTTCCTCAGAGCCACGGCTTCCAGTTTGGCTTCGTACTCGGCCTGTACATGGTCCCTCTTCTTCAGCACGCTCTGCGGGGGGCGAAACGGAAGCGTGAGCACAGCCATTGCTTCTGCACCCGGTACCTGCCCAAGCCTCCGCCACGCGCTCCTAGGACAGTCTGGCCATGGCCGACACAGGCTCTGTGTTCCTAGGACGGTCTGGTCATGGCTGACATCAGCTCCGGAGAGAGCTGGGGGCGGAGGGAGAGGAGAACCGTGCTCACAGGTGGAGCTTTCCAGCGCAGTAACTCAGCCTGATGCTCAGTCACAGAATCCCAGGGAAGGGTGGGCGGGGGGAGTGGTGCCCACTCCACAGGTATGCGGATGAGGGGACCCTCCGCGCCCCGGTGCATAGAGACCTCAGCTGTGCTGGGACAAGGAGCCTGGCAGGTGCCAAGGTGGGACCTTGTCTGAACTGTTACTGGAAAAGTCTAAGTCACGAGAGTTGTTGTCTCTTTAATTCATCGAGTTGACCCCTGGTGGACTGAGCTGCTCACTGATCCACTATTAGCCACACATCTGTCCTCCACTCTGGCCCGGGTACTTGAAGAGCAAAGATACACAGCTCGGACCTGAGGGTTCCGGCCACGGGAGACGTTGGGACACAGCATGAGGCTGCCTGTGCTCAAAGAGCCAGGGACGAGCCCAGAAGCCCTGCGACCACGTGGGGAGACTGCCAGACCCAGCGCTGCACAGGCGCAGGGGCCAGCCGGCGCGGGACTGGGGGAGGCACGCCGGCGCCCAGGCTGCAAGCTGTAAGGAGACACTCCGTCCTGGGCCCGTGCAAGTACAAGGATGGCCTCTGAGTGTGAGTCCCTAAACTTATGCCCTGGGCGCCTCCCTCTGTCTCTGCCACTCAGACCCCAGCAGGCAGAACAGAGAAGCTTACGGTCAGCCTCCTAGAAAAGCACGTTTCACCCAAGGGTTTCTTTTTCTTCTTTCAGTAGAACCACAAGTGGCAAACCGAGAGGGATAAGAACTTTCTCTGCTACTGACTCGGAAGACACAAAGTGCTCTGAATCTCTCACCTCACGTTCTCCAGCAGAGCACGGAGTGCGGCGGCAGGGGGCCGCTGCTCAGCCACCGCAGTGGGAGCCTTCAGTCCGCGCAACGTGCTGAAACGCGATGAGCGACGGAGCCGCTGACAACGCGCTGCAGACAGCCTTCTCACGGAAGGCGAAAACATGGGGAACCTCAACTCTCCCTTAAGTATTTGCTTGGAGAAGTGTTTCACCACAAGAAGGACACGAGATGAAACCTGAAACAGCTTCCCTTTTCATTGGTTTCCTCTCAGCTTTCTCGTAGGTGCTCTGAGGTCTCCTCCCCACATGCATCAGCCTCTGGGCCTAGAACCTTCTGCTGTGATGGAGAGGTTCCATGACCTGCATGGACTAGCACGGCGGCCGCTAGGCCCACATGCCGACTGAGCTCTTGAAATGTGGCTGGTGTGGCTGAGGAACTGGATTTAAATCTTTATTTAATTTTCCCTAATTTGAGTTTAAACTGAAATAGCCACCGATGGCAAGCGGCTGTCATACTGGACGGAACAAATCTATAAAGTAAACACAAAAGAACAAAAAAGCCACGGCTCCTTTCTAGATTTCACAGAGCCGAAAGCATTCAAAATCTACTGGTCTGGTATCAGCAGTACCTGCTCTCCGTGGGGACACAAATGTGGCTCCCTGGAGGGCCAGGAGGACAGGGATGGGGGGCTGTTGTTGAGGAATCTGGTTCTGCCTTCTACTCCCTTCACAGGACGCCTCACGTGGTTTGGGGGAAAGCACGTGTATCCAGGCTAGGAACACGGCTCCACAAACAATGAGCTGTTCCAGTGACACACCCCTGTCAGTGTGGCAAGAAACTCCAGCCAAAGCTAGAAATGCTCTTAAAATGCCTTCAAAACACAGTAAGCACAGTGTGGGACGCTGCCTCTCCTCAGTTCTGCTGAGAGTGTCTCAAGTCTCTCTGATGGGGTTGCCCAGGCCCTCAGGCAGGGAGGGATGGTGAGAGGAGTCCTGTCAACTCCACTCAGCTCATCGCATAGCCTCTCCCTCCCCTCAAGGCAGACGAGGGGGCCTAAGACTCAGCCACACTCCCTCCCTTCCTCAGGCCTGCCTGGGCAGAGGAGAGGTAAGGGCTCTGTCTCCTCAGGCTCTGCAAGCCCGGAGCAACCGGAACACGGCCTTCTCCTGAAGCCTGAAGGGGGGATCTGGGCGAGCACCCCTACCTCACTGGACTGCAGAAAAAACTCACAACAACCACAAAAGCTCACCACAACCCTGCGGAAGTGAGAGGGTACTATCCCCGTTCTACAGGCAAGAACACTGAGGCACCAGGAAGTGACCTGGCTGAGGCCACACTGCTGGCTAAGAGCACAGAGGTGACTCACTCTGGCTTCGCAGCTGAATTCCAGAGCGCATGGTTCCCCAGCCTGACTGCCAGCCAGCCAAGGCAACCTGTTCCGAAATAAGATAAACTGCTGAAGACTACCATCCTTGCTGGGAACACCTTCGCACACCACGGGCAGTGGTCTGAAGGGACTGGCCTCCCTCCCGAAACAGCACAGGATCTGCCGATGGACCTGGCCACACTGGCCTCTGGTTGACGGGGCCTCAGCCTTCAGGGGAGTGAAAGGGCCTTCGAGGTGCTGGGTCGGCATCTGCAGAGAAGTTCCTCCAGCACCGAGTGACGGGCAGAAGACCTTTACCCTCTGAGCTTCTCACAGAGATCAACAGAGCTCTCTGATGCTAGTGGATACGGGGATGCACGTGTCCCACCCTGTGGCCTTCTGCCCCTGGTCTGCACGGCCATTCCCACCCCATTTCTGTCTTGCCTTAACATTTCTTCATTTACCCAAGTGCTGGAGATACAGCGGAGAGCAAAACACACAGAACCCTTGCCTTCGTGGAGCTGACATTCCAGGGAGGAGGCAGATAATACACAGATAACATATAATCAACATAAGACCCTGGAAGGTAATGCTGGGTGTTCAGGAGGAAAAACGAAAACAAGAAAGAAAGATGTGGAGCACTGAGGGTTTGGAAGGTGAATTGTGCACTGGGTGGCCAGGGAGGACCTCAATGAAAGGAGACTTTTAATTAGAGACATTGAGTAAAGTTCTCTCAATGCTATATATATTTTTAATGTTGAGCATTTCATCATGATTTCGAAATGGTCCCAGTAACCTGGAACTTCACTACTTCTCTTTTCAAATGCAGGGGAAAAAATAACTCCTTTCTTTAATAAATAAATTGCAAAGAAAAATAAATAGAGGGGGAGGGATTCTTAAAATACTTAAGAACTATATCAAGCAAGTATGAATTTTATTTATATCCCACTTTGGAAAAAGCCTAAAAACAGTGTCTGAGACAACTGGGGAAACTGAACAGTAACTGGATATTTGAGGAAATATTAAGGAAAAAAAATATCTATTTAGGTGTGACACTACGAACAAAGCCAGTGGAGGTGATGGAATTCCAGTTGAGCTATTTCAAATCCTGAAAGATGATGCTGTGAAAGTGCTGCACTCAATATGCCAGCAAATTTGGAAAACTCAGCAGTGGCCACAGGACTGGAAAAGGTCGGTTTTCATTCCAATCCCAAAGAAAGGCAATGACAAAGAATGCTCAAACTACCGCACAATTACACTCATCTCACACGCTAGTAAAGTAATGCTTAAAATTCTCCAAGCCAGGCTTCAGCAATACGTGAACCGTGAACTTCCAGATGTTCAAGCTGGTTTTAGGAAAGGCAGAGGAACCAGAGATCAAATTGCCAACATCTGCTGGATCATAGAAAAAGCAAGAGAGTTCCAGAAAAACATCTATTTCAGCTTTATTGACTATGCCAAAGACTTTGACTGTGTGGATCACAATAAACTGTGGAAAATTCTGAAAGAGATGGGAATACCAGACCACGTGACCTGCCTCTTGAGAAACCTGTATACAGGTCAGGAAGCAACAGTTAGAACTGGACATGGACCAACAGACTGGTTCCAAATAGGGAAAGGAATACGTCAAGGCTGCATATTATCACCCTGCTTATTTAACTTAAATGCAGAGTAAATCATGAGAAATGCTGGGCTGTAAGAAGCACAAGCTGGAATCAAGATTGCTGGGAGAAATATCAATAACCTCAGATATGTAGATGACACCACCCTTATGGCAGAAAGTGAAGAGGAACTAAAGACCCTCTTGATGAAAGTGAAAGAGGAGAGTGAAAAAGTTGGCTTAAAGCTCAACATCCAGAAAACTAAGATCATGGCATCCGGTCCCATCACTTCATGGCAAATAGATGGGGAAACAGTGGAAACAGTGGCTGACTTTATTTTTGGGGGCTCCAAAGTCACTGCAGACGGTGATTGCAGCCATGAAATTAAAAGACGCTTACTACTTGGAAGGAAAGTTATGACCAACCTAGACAGCATATTAAAAAGCAGAGACATTACTTTGTCCACAAAGGTCCATCTAGTCAAGGCTATGGTTTTTCCAGTAGTCATGTATGGATGTGAGAGTTGGACTATAATGAAAGCTGAGCGCTGAAGAATTGATGTTTTTGAACTGTGGTGTTGGAGAAGACTGCTGAAAGTCCCTTGGACTGCAAGGAGATCCAACCAGTCTATCCTAAAGGAGATCAGTCCTGGGTGTTCATTGGAGGGACTGATGTTGAAGCTGAAACACCAATACTTTGGCCACCTGATGCAAAGAGCTGACTCATCTGAAAAGACCCGGACGCTGGGAAAGATTGAGGGTAGGAGGAGAAGGGGATGACAGAGGATGGGATGGTTGGATGGCATCACCGACTCAATGGACATGAGTTTGGGTAGACACCTGGAGCTGGTAATGGATAGGGAGGCCTAGCGTGCTGCGGTTCATGGCGTCGCAAAGAGTTGGACACGACTGAACTGAATAGTGTGGTCCTTTTTCTTCCTTAAAAGAATGTTTGGGGACTTCCCTGGTGGTCCAGTGGTTAAGACTTCACCTTCCAAAGCAGGGTGTATACACCGAGGAAACCAGATCTGAAAGAGACAC